ATCCGGGAGCGGTGCCAGGAGCAGGACCCCTTGGTGTGTGCCAACTACCAGTCCTACTTCCGGACCATCGAGGAGCTCCAGCAGAAGGTGAGGGCTGGGCACCACGCTGCCAGTTTAATGACCTGTTTATCCAAATTTAGCATACCAACTTCTGAATGGATCTAAGGCTGTTCACAGCTAATGTTGAGAATGATAAAGGTCTAGAATTCATTGGCTTAGGTATGACATCAGGTAGTCTTAGAAAATATATTTTGGAACCACAAGGGAAGGGTACAGGCTGCGGACTGAGTGAGGTGTTAGACTGAAATCAACCAGCAGTCTTACGTTGCTTCTTACCCACGACCAGAATATCAGATTCTTTAGTTCAATTATGATACTCTGGTTTTGTTTTCAGAGCATTATGGCACTTCGAAAAAATAATACACACCCAAATTATTTCTCTATGCCAGGGATTTTCTGAGTGAATCTTCAAATATTTAAAGCCTTTCAAAGCTGTAGCAAAAGACAGTGTCTACAGCTAGGCAAGAGAGCCATTGACTCCAGAAACCCAACTAGCGTGTATGGACACATGTACCATCCTCCAGAGCAGGCATACACAGATGACAGCACAGGGCCCTACAAGCAGGGGCAGCAGTGGCTGGAAGTAAAGAGTCCACGTAGAGGTGGGACTTCATACCTGTGGTAGGTGAGGGAGGGCTCCCCGGAAGAGGCAATACCTGAGTGGGGTTTGAAGGATGAGTAGTTTATACCCAACTGGACATGCCCCTGATTCTTGGAGGGAATTGGCTGCCCACTGTTCTGTAGTTCTGGAAAAGTGAATGCCAGAAAGGGGCTGTGCTGCTAGAGTATCACTTATTCATTTACCCATAGTTGGACAGGATTAGGCTGGCGCTAGGGTGGGGGATAAAGCACTGAGTAAAACAATCTCTTTCCTTCAGGAGCTCATGATCTAACAGGGAGGTAGATGTGGAAACAATTGACCACACGAAGGTCACAGAAGTGTTACGGGATAAGCATAAACTCCATGGGTTACATAAGGGGGCTTGCTAGGTACGGGGGCATTCAAGGTCCTCCCGGGTGGAAGGAGAGGCTTTGTACAAAAGCATGGGCGAGGGGAATATGAAGGTAGGTTTGTCCTGGTTTGCCTGGAACTCTTCTGGTTTAGCATCCCAGGAACCCCCTCAGTCCTAAGCAAGCTGAGATGGCTGCTCAGTGAACTCAGTTCCGGCAGGAAGCCAGAAGCAGACCAAGAGCAGTAGAGTTCATGACAAAGGGCGCATTTCACCTTGATGTCCTGGTTTTGAAATGATCAGTTCTATGAATGGATGTTCCTTTTATCCCCAAATTGAAAATCTGAAAGGACTCAAAGCTATTTGGAAGGAATATGGCTGAAAGAAAATAGCTTTTCGCTTTGAGGCACAGGGCAATCCTTCTTGGTATGACCCATTTCACAATTCGTCCTGTGCCCAGATCCTGTGCAGCAAGTCCGAGAACGCCAGGCTGGTGGTGCAGATAGACAATGCCAAGCTGGCCGCAGACGACTTCAGGACCAAGTAAGATTTTTCTAATGATCAGAGCGGTCTAGTAACAAGACAGGTGGAACTGCAAAGGGATGAACTTCCTACCCTGGGAGTGTGCAAGCAGAAGGTTCCAGATGATATTGGGAGGATTCTTGTATTGGATTCGAGTTAGGTGAAATGTCAACGTCTCCTTCCTGGGTGCTAAGATTCTTGAAGTTTGGTTGTAAGAAACCACCCATTCCTTCTCCTTTTCAACTCAACACCTGGACCAAGTTTAAAAGTGAATTGCACACTGATCTCTTAGTCTATAGTAGCCACTATCAGCCCATCAAAACACATTATTAAAACACAAAAATAGGAGGCAAAATCCATTGCTTTCAGAGAATCAATTAATATTTTTAGAGATGACTATTACGATCATGAGAATCCTTTGCATTTTTATGAGACTTTAGAGTTTACAATGTAATTTTACGTATATTCATTTCTTCATCTTCAGCCCAATCCTGTGAAGTGTTAGTTTCTCTTCATTTTACAGATGAGGAAACCAAGGCTCAGAGAGATTAAGGAGCCGGTCCACAGCCAGTTAATGGCAAGGCTGGATCTAACTGCCATTTACTTTTGTGCTTCTCTCACTAGATTGCTTCTTGGCGTGGTTGCAAAGGACAGCAAGGTAGTCTGTAGCATGCTTACGAAGTGTGTCAACTCGCTTAAGACAGCAGAAATGGCAGGGCTTGGTGGATAGCACCTTGTGAATGGGACTCTCAGAGCAAACGTAGTTAACGTTAGATGAAACTATACACAGGCATCCCACCAAACTTTCCGTGTGGGTCTCAGGGACGAAATAGGCCTTCTCACTTAGAAGAGTGGTATTTTTTCCCCTTTAAAACAACTTTAAAAAAATTCAAAACATTTCAAAATATAATCAATTTAGCTAGGTCAGTCAAGTAGAGCCCAGGAAACAGTCTTCTTCTTTGACCCCCTTCTTCTTTTGACCTCTGGCTGTGTGTGAAGGCATCAGACGGAGCTGTCCCTGCGGCAGCTGGTGGAGTCGGACATCAACAGCCTGCGCAGGATCCTGGACGAGCTGACCCTGTGCAGGTCTGACCTGGAGGCCCAGGTGGAGTC